GTACCGCGAACCAGACTTCTGGATAGTGGGGCATGAAAGAAACAGGTCGTAAATCAATAACCTATACTTCGGAATCTATTATATAACAACTATTATATGATAACTAACCGCCATTTCGAAAAGTTTTTGCAGGTATAATATGTACTAAAAAGTATCGATATGAAATAAGCAGCAACTTATTCATAAAAAAATGCGGATAGATGAATAATAGACTCACCGTAATCGGCTTCTTTGGGAGGCACTCTAGCAGTTTAGGCATGTTCAAAGTTGTTGCTCGCCAAATGTAATGGCAATAGCTGCATTCGACTATGATCATCACTACAGGCCAATTACTTACCGATTACCAGGTTAAATCCTCCCGTAGTGCACGAGCTAGAAGGACATAATACAGAGATCGTGTCTAGGTATACACGCGAGACTACCGTGCGTATGTGAGTAGGGTTAAGGCCACAAAAAGCGGAATATGGGATTTTTTGTTATAGATAAACAGAAAGGTGCAGTAAAACAATCACCGTTGTAATCGGTCATAATAATGAATCAATGAAACAATCACATCAACAGTGTAAAAATTCCGTTGAAGTCTAGTTAAATGGAAAGTTTTCTGCTTCTTAGTAGCCCCTGAAGGCTACAGAGACTCATCCCATCAATCCGATAAGACATTTTTATCAGTAGTTCAAATGTTCATATATGATCGTGTATTGTGTAGTGGAATACTTCGACGAAGAAAAGGCGATGGTGAAAAATAAACATTTATTTTTGTACTCGTATTGTTGAACTGTACCAAAAACGACTTACTTGCGCGCAACGTTCTTTTTCGCATTGCTGCCATCTTTCATAAATTGTTGCTCGATGTAACGCCTACTTTCTCCTTTAAAACAAATATTGAACCCTGGATTTATTTCTATAATTTGCGACGGGATAGTAATGAGTGTTTAGTGGTGATCATAGTCCATCTCGACTCGGTCACTAATAAAGCTGAGTGGTTTTCATTCAACGAAATTGTATATTACAGAAAGAATGATAATTTTTATTAGAGTAGATTATATGTCTGATTTTCTAAACCGATTCAGCTGTCATACACTTCTAATTATAGTTTACACTATAGTTCAGTTACAAGACAAAGTTGTTTAAATCCAGTTTTGTTTCTTAAACTGAAAGAAAATTCTAACATATTCACTGCTTAAAATCAATCATTTCACAGGTAGTAAGTATTAAGTAGAATAGTTTAAAGTAAAAGGTATGCATTTTATGTATATTTTACATTAGATTGACATACATATAATGTCAATTACTGAAAGACAATGAAACGAAAACCCACTTGGAACCATGAGAGAAATACATTAATTACTAACTTGTAAAATTAGAATAAATGAACTTCTTAGATGAAGTTCCTAGCACCGTTGTAAAAGAATACAATATTTAAACCTAATTTCTTCCAACTATTGAAGAAGCTTTCAGTCATTTAAAGTACTACATGTTGCATGACACAAGTATGTTGTGCAGTTTACATGACTTCGTCAAATGTCAATATTCTGTTGAAATGACTGACTGGTACTAATAGATTCGTTTGGTTGGTTGGTCCACGTAGATTGAATGAAATTTATTGGTCAAAGTCGTATATACTACTACACTCAACTACTACCATGGCGTGTCTATAAATATGGAAGTGTAGGTTGGAGTATTCAACTCATCATTGTGACTATGAATTTAATTCAAACACAAAAACGTCTTATGACCAAATTGATTGTGATCTTTAGTTTGATTAGTTGTTTTCAATTACAGATGTTAGTACTAGCCAGACCTGAAGCAGGTGTTAACAAGGATGGTGAGATGTGACATTGTTTTTTGTAAATATGATTCATTTCATTGAATTTACTTATTCTTATCATTCCGTAACTGTACATGTACATGTTTCTATCTTTCTTTTTTTCTTAATTTCAGAAGCGTTTTTGAGATTCGGATAATTGGAACAAGGATCACGAAAATACTGTCTGATTACTGTCATACTAATAAATAAGATAATGGTTTCAAATGGATTTCAATGTTTTATTGTTTCACTTTCGCGATTTAATAGAGTCAGTCAGTAACAACGTAGAACTTCGTACAAACGTACATCAGTGTCATACCAGATTAGCACAGAGACGCAATCGTCAATTCAAATCTCGTAGTGGTAGAGATAGTGGAAGTAATACCAGTAATCGGAGAGATTAGAGTTTGAAGATTTTATTCAAGAAGTATAATCTAGTAAAATAAGCTTAAAAGGAGAAAGATAAAGGTAATAAAGAATCAGGAGGACTAGGATTTGAGAGAAGCCAAAGAATCAATGCATTTGTACCACTGCAAACGATTTTGAGTCATGTTATTCAAGTTCTCTAACCATAGGTTACTATCTTCTCACGAATCCCAACCAAGTAGTCGACACCTGTTACGTTCGTCACTAGGTACGCTTGAAGCTACTTCAAGTTCACCTTAGTCGATTAACGCGACCGATACAATTACCAGCGTCCAGGTAGGCTACCTTGAATCCCAAACTGCAAAACAGAAGACTTGATAAGCGTAGAAAGTATATTCTACAACACCCAGCACTCACAATACAATCAAGCACACAAGTCTCGTTTATTTATACATCATAGAAACGTCCTTGAGACAGTTACGAAAATAGCACACTAAAATACACAGCGGCAAATCATAGCCATAGATTCTCTTGGTGGGAAATGAAATCTCAAGGTCAACTGATCAGCCCATGCTGGCGAACGTGAAATTTAACATAAGGCATTTATCAAGCGAGTTATGTGGATCTAACATCCCCAACACACCCACCAATGTGACCTATTCCAGTGACTTGATTGATTTCTGCCATGTTTTGGTTTGGCCGCCTCTAGCCTTCTTCCAGCCTACCCCTTCGCCACAAAACATAGCTCATCAAGGTAGTCGGTGGTTGTGCATACGTAGTACATGTCCCAACCACCTGAAATGCATAAGATTTAGTAATACGTCAACTGATTTGCAATCATTACCTAGTACCCTTGTCCTAACAACTGCATCGCTTAGTCAGTGGTACCAAGATATATCTCTTTCATTTACATTCTGAAGTGAATCTAAGATCTCTTTTGAAAGCAACTAATTTTTTCGACCAACTATTTTGCTACTTTGTTCTTACAAAGTCGATAGATGATAGCTTTAAAATATCTTGAGTACCAGGTGAAAATCTGTCAACTCTTCCATAGTCGGACAAGGAAATCTTTTTCTGTTGTTGTTAGTATGTTATGCTTGTAACATAATTTGTTCGGTTGATTTCCTCAAACTACTCGCTGTTAAGCGAATATTCTAGTCGATATACTGAATATTTTGATACCCTCGAAATATAAATGACA